ACACACACACACACACACACACACACACACACACACACACACACACACACACACAAACATGCACGCACAAACACGCACGCACGCACGTACGTACGCACACACACACACACACACACGCACGCACGACCCCCTCCCCCACCACACACACTCGCGCGCGCACACACACAACACACACACACACACACACACACACACACACACACACACACACACTCGTGCGCGCACACATTGTAAATCGCGCCAATAATATACTAGGGTATATAAAACAACGGAAACTTTTCGTAGATAGAAGACATATGAGAACTCGCGAGATGGCCTTTGAACACGAACCGGTGGGGTGATGCGTGTGTACGTGTGTACGTGTGTGCGTGTGTACGTGTGTACATGTGTACGTGTGTGCGTGTGTGCGTGTGTGCGTGTGTACGTGTGTGCGTGTGTACGTGTGTACGTGTGCACGTGTGTGCGTGTGTGCGTGTGTACGTGTGTGCGTGTGTGCGTGTGTACGTGTGCACGTGTGTGCGTGTGTGCGTGTGCACGTGTGTACGTGTGCACGTGTGTGCGTGTGCACGCGTGTACGTGTGTACGTGTGTGCGTGTGTGCGTGTGTACGCGTGTACGCGTGTACGCGTGTACGTGTGAGCGGTGGGCGCGGAATGCATACAATGCCGTAATGTAGGCCTACGCGGCTACACTGTTTCCCTCCACCGCCATATTTTCTCGCGGTGAAAAAACGCGAGCACGGAATTTGAACTTGGCGTTGAATTTGTCGGCGTTTTTCCACCGCGGTTTTACGGCATCCGACCGCAGATCGGATTAACGTATTAACGTCGATCGCCATCACCGGCGTGCGTATCATACAGAATGCTTGTCTCTAATGTTTAAGTGTTTAGCTAAGACGACTAGCGAAACAGTTAGCACCAAGAAACGGCGGCATAAATCCTACAGCGCGTATTAACTTCACTAGCACATTGCGTCACGACAGAGTGTATCTCACTCACACTTACGTACGAGAACAGTCACGTATTCTTTTCGTTTGACTCGGCAATTAATAATATCAAGAGTACATGATAGAGATTCTCTATTAGAGATTCTTTATCTATATTCTAGATCTAGAGATTCTCTATAGAGATATATCTCTATGATGTACTCTTGATAATATCAAGAGCATATAAAGAAGAGCATATATATGATGATGATTCCGTCATGTGTCAGTTGTATCGGAGGCGTCTGGAGCCCATATTGTCCCATTCCGTCCTACGCGTAAGGGGGATATTAGAGCCCCTACTCGTGCGTTTTCACGGACCCTTTATAAAGTACGTTAGAGCTTCGATTCCACCCTAAACTCTCTAACGACCATCGTATAGCACTTAAAGCGATGGCACATTTATGAGAAGGTGTATACGGCGCTGTTATTGGAACCATGCATGCGGGCCGGCTGGTATGTATTGGTTGGTACGTGTGCTGAGCGAGAGCGTAAGCGCGTATTTGCAGTGTGTTAGAATAGAATAGAACGTAGGTGGAATAAAGGTTATTGTTAAAAGCAACACTGCTATGAGAAAATTACGATCTAGTGGGAGATCGAGGTTCCCATTCCCCCAAATGACTTGACAATATTTTTAGCGCGATATATATATAAACACACACAGGGCCGTACGCAGCAGGGGGGCAGCAGGGGCAGTGAGACAAATACTGTACACTTTTAGAAATAAAATAGAAATGTGACAAAAGGTTATCTTAAATCATCAAAGAAATATTACACTTTAAATAAAGAAATGTAAAATTGCGAAACTTTATGGCACAGGGGGCATGGGGAGTACCTTTGCCCCCCTACAGAAAATTTCCTGCGTACGGCCTTGCACACACACATATAATATATATATATATATATATGTACATGTGGGTTCATAAAGAGAATTTATTAAAAGGATATTGCATTCCAATAATCTAATTTATTAGCGTAATGGTTACGGTATCAACATCGGTATCGGTATTGGTAATAGTAACGGCATCGGTATCGGTATTGGGAATAGTAACGGCATCGGTATCGGTATTGGTAATAGTAACGGCATCGGTAACCAGCAGTGAATAGCAGCAGGGGTGCTAACGGGCGACAATAGCACATTGAGTTACCTTACGCATATTAGAGACACAAGAGTTACTCACCGCCTCCATTACGGTAGCAGATGTACGGGAATCTCCACACGTTACCCAGGTCGACCGCAAACCCGATGACGGCGAGTAAGAACTCAGCCTTCTTGTTCCACGTCTCTCTCGGCGGTGGCTCGTCGCTCAAAGCGACTTGCACCTCCTTGGCGCCAGTCTGTACGGCTCCGTTCTTGCTCTGCTGCTGCTCCATCTTTCTTCTATGTTTTTCTTCTCACAGTGGGTGAAGTTCTGATGAAGTCGGGGAGCGGTATCGTTCTCACGACAATCTCTGAGTTCTTTCTGCGGGTCCGAACTCAGGAGGCAGTTGGTTCACGACAGACGGTGGTGGAGGACCCAGTAAAGTCAACGGTGAGAATAACTCGCAGCCAGGTTCTCAGAAAGGAGACTCTTACACCTGGGCAACGCCAGAAGAAGACGAGGAGGAGACAGAAGAAGAAGAAGAAGAAGAAGAAGAAGAAGAAGAAGAAGAAGAAGAAGAAGAAGAAGAGGAAGAAGTCGTTCGGTCTACGGCAACAGAAGGAGAAGGATCACCCAGTTTATGACAGCGGAAGAAGTAACCGAGAAAGTTTACCCAGTCTCCGGCAAGATACGCTATCGCTGCACGACGGATCGAGTTATTCAAACAGGACCGCTCGTCATTCGATGTGCCTTGCCACTCGCTGGAGTTTCATGCTTCCGCTAACTTCGTGCGCCGTGCGAGCGCGGGGGGCTGCTAGTTCGACAGTTGGTCGCGGCACGGCGCTGCAGGCGGTATGCGCGGTCAGGCACTCCCGTCCAGTGCAGGCGATCCGCACCCGCGCAAACGCTATATGCTCTACGCGATGACGTCACCACGTCGCAGACGATCCGGACCTGCGCATGCGCGTCAGGTGACGGAACTCCGTCTGCCGTAGTAAGTATGTACGCAGAGCGGGAAGGCGTGATGAATAAATATAGACGTGGGGGGGGGCAATGCGTGACGTGATGATATCGATTCATATGTATATTAAATATTGATTTCATTGATTGAGTAATAAACTTTATGCACCGCTCCTTGGTTGAGTATTGGCTGATATCGATTTTATTGATTGAGTAATGATGAACTATATGCACCGCTCCTTGGTTGAGTATTGGCTGATATCGATTTTATTGATTGAGTAATGATGAACTATATGCACCGCTCCTTGGTTGAGTATTGGCTGATATCGATTTTATTGATTGGGTAATGATGAACTATATGCACCGCTCCTTGGTTGAGTATTGGCTGATATCGATTTTATTGATTGGGTAATGATGAACTATATGCACCGCTCCTTGGTTGAGTATTGGCTGATATCGATTTCCTTGATTGGGTAATGATGAACTATTAAGTGTTATGTAGGCTTAATGTATGTATTATTATGTATGTAGCTAATGAAACTTTATGTTATATATATATATATATATATTATATATATATATATATTATATACGTCTATTCTGTATTATTCATTGGCTGTCCTGAATTGGGTAATGACTTGTTTCTACCCGCTGTCCTTTGTCGTTGTGAAGTGTGAAAATGCATGAGCCTGTTATGCTTGATGCGAGAATACTGTTGATTTGGGATTCATGGCTGCATTCATAACTGTGTCATCTCACGCGAAACGAAACGCATTTACATTCTGTAATTTCTGCTTCTCTCTCTCGTCTTCTGCTGCTGCCTATCTCTCTGCTCTCTCTCTGCTGCTGCTCTTCTCGTCTCTCTTTCTCATCTCTGTCGGTGCTCTCGTCTCGTCTCTCTGCTCTCTGCTTCTTTTCTCTCTGCTCGTGCTTTGCTCTCTCTCTCCTCTCTCTCTCTCTCTCTTCATGG